GCACTATAAAAGCTTGGGTCTTCAGGAAGACGTAACTAAAGAGCTAAATCTTTACAGATCTTACATCTATTGCTTCTGTTAAGCAACAAGAGTATTTCTATGTCTGAGGTACCCCCCCCCCGCCCCCAAGGTATAGTTGTGAAGTGAAAAGCCAGACCATTGGGGTTCACAAGCAGGGGCAAAAATGCCCAAGCCTTTCCTAGGGCTGCCCCTTGACTGCTAAAGAACGCGTTGTTATTACTCACGAACCGGAAAAACTGCCTTTCTGATGTGAAATATTGAAAAACAAAATAACCCTTCTCCCCCCTGACCATCTCACCAAGGATGGAGGGAGTACTGTAGTTAACACATCAACCCCTCACACAAAGAAAAATCCCACCTGCTCCGCCCGCAAGACCTCAGCACCCTAAAACAACCGAGCGCCGCTAGTGCCGCCATCTTGATCAATTCTTTCGTGTCGCTATTGGCGGAAACGTATCATAAAGCTTCGTCACGCCAAACGCCAATTGGTCCGCGGAACTGAAGAGGCGGCTTCGCTAGGATTGAAGACTGTGGGGGAGGGAGATGAAGTTGGAGGTGGAGTCACGTGGTCCGAAGTGAAGGCAAGGAAAGTAGGGCGGAAGTAGTTGGGAAATGCCATTTTATGACGTTAAAACTGGAGTTTGTTTCCAAAAGTATCCGCTAATTCAGCGAAGATGGTCTTTGCTTTTGCTTTGTTTCCCCCTAATAATTCGGGTAACTGCAAATAAAGCAATTTGAATCTATTCAGAATACTTTTCTATCAAACATTTCTATCTAGACTTTTTCTTAATAATTTTTTCTTTTAGCATTAAATGGTAGTCTACAAATTACTGTCTATTGCGGCATTACGAATAAATGCATATTAATAGTTCTGTCAATTCAATGCAAGTTCCATTGTAATCAGTTGGGGTCACTCCTAGGATAGTGTAATAATATAGCCTGATGCTGCTGCACATCTTTACTCTGAAGCAAGTTTAATGGAACTTACTTCTGAAAGGGCATAGGCTCGCAACCCAATATTGCAGCTGCACACACTTACCTAGGAATGAATGAATGAATGAATGAATGAATGAATGAATGAATGAATGAATGAATATATATGCATGTACATAGTAACTTTTTATGCAGTTCAAAGTCTATACAGTTTTTCTGACTTCCATGTTTCCAACAACATGAATGACCAGTACCTATTGCAGATTTAATTTTGTACCTTCAAGTCAGTTTTTGACTCCTAGCAACTAGCTGGCCAAGTCCCTGCAGTTTTGTTGGCAAAGTTTTTTTGGAAGTGGTTTGCCACTGCCTGCTTCCTAGGGCTGTGAGAGAGTGACTGGCCCAAGGTCACCCAGGTGACTTTGTACCTAAGGCAGGACTAGAACTCACAGTCTCCCTGGTTCTAGCCTGATGCCTTAACCACTACAGTACACCAAACTGGCTCTCACTGTACAGAATACCCCTCTTTTAAAACAGCAACACCCATGCTGATCTACTTTAGATCCTAATCCTACTTTATGGAACACGCTCACCCTGGAAGAGAGCCCATATCCTTCTTGCATCCAGGAAGATCCTCAAGGTGATTTTGTTTTAGTGGGTCTCAGAGTAGTTTATAGCGTGTATCATTTGTTTTCTAACTATTTTCTGATATTCTTATATTGAATATAATGTTGGTTTTAATTACTGATATATTCCATTATTGTTTTGCTCATGTACACTGCCCAGAATCAGTCAAAGAGGTTGGTTTATAAATGCTGTCAAATAAATAAATAAATAAATAAATAAATAAATAAATAAATAAATCTGCCAATGAATTTGCCATAATAAATCATAAGTGGATAACCGCAACATGTTGGGTTATATATAATGTGATTGACTCAATGTTTTGGACAAACCCAGTTAGTATTACTAGTTTATAAGATAATAAACAGTTGGTTAGGCAAGTAGGTTAATTCAGTCATTCGTGAATAAGTTGATTATAGATTAATTTCTTGTGCAAATCCAGCCAATGAAGAAACCTTTGTCCCAAACTCATCCCTGGCAGCTGCATTTCAATTTTTCTGTTACTTTTTTTCAGACCATTTCTTAAGCTCAGTGCAAGCTCCCTCTATCTAGGTGAAAGGGATATGCTGAACATGCAAAGTGGAACAAAACTTAAAGATACGCTGCTTCTTGCTGATTTGATAAGGTCAAGGGAAGCATCTTTGGGATGACCCTCAAGTAATCTGGTTATCATATTTGTGCTAAAGACAAGGCAAAAGGCCCATGCTTGTCCAAACAAAAGAGCATTTCTAACCTTGTGAACTAAGCTAAAGGTTTTCAGAAGCTACACATTGGCTGCAATGCGCAAATGATTGATTCAGGTCAATCAACACATCTCAATGGGGACATTGTGTGGTGCAAATCCACTGAAAGTAGTTCGGAAGGGAACAGAACTGCAGTCGAACCACTCGTTGTGCAAGCCTGCATCACTAGTCATTCCAGCCATGCAACTTCAATCCATGGGTTGCCTTTAGCCACAGCACAGCAGACAGTATTGGCGTGCCTTTATTACCAGAATGTTTTCTTCAAGTGCCAATTTAACTTTATTATTTGGAGCAGTCTCAAGAAGGAAAATTTAGTTGAGTCCATTATAGCAAAAATAACAACATGTTCTTATGGCTTTTGTGGAATGATGCTATCAACTCCATTTCATTAACATATAAGCCATAATATTCGTCCTACTTTTTAAGATACCACAGGTTGACTTTTTTTTTTTTTTTTTAATCTGCACTCAGTCGTTACTGACTCTGCAGTGACTGCTTGGACGAGTCCTTGCAGTTTTCAAGACAATTGTTTCGGAAGTGGTTTGCCAGAGCCTCCTT